TGGGATCTTGTCGTGTGCCATGCATGCTGACGTATTCCTATTCTCTCAGGTTGTATGTTAGATTTTGAGAACGAACAGGTTCGATAAGAGCCAAAGTATTCTCAGCAGGAGTGCCTTGCAGGCAGAGCAGAAGAAGAAGCCGAAGTTTAGTTATTTTCTTTAGTTGTTCGAAGGTCCTTGTTTACTTTTGTATCATTTTCCTTTTCTGCTTGATCAGTGTATTTTTATATTTTCCAGTATTTCAGTTGGATTGTTTTGTATTAGAACATGTTGACTCGAATATAATGTCTGGGATGATATTTCAGTTGTGATATGTATCATTTTGTTCTGAGTTGTTTATTATATTCTCGTTACTGTGATCAGGGACCTGTGATTTTGCTTTATATTGTTTGACGGTTAGCATATTAGATTGAGTAGAAATGGTCTAGTATTTATTTCTCCTTAGTCTATTACGTCGCGGGCTTGTTCACGTTCTGATTCCCCGATATTTTGGGAAGCGGGGCGTGACAATGGATAAGTCCTTAGTCATGACAATCACCTTATTAATATGCTCTATGATATTGTCTCCCTCTTGAATACGACAAGAAATATATTAACGCAAGATGAGTTGAATGTGTCGTATTTTTCTAATATAGCATTCCAAATGTCCATAGAAGTCTTATAAGTTTCAAAAACTTTGATCAAGTTATCTTCCATGAACATGAGTATTAGACTTTTTGCCTTTTTATCTTTGGACTTCCATTGTTCAAACCATTTCTTTTCTTCATGTGTAGATTTATCTGTAAGAGCATATCGTATTTTTCTATGCCATATAACTGTTGACCCTATAGTTTTGATGATGATTTGTCAAACAATTTATCGCTAATATATTCTCTAGTTTTGTTTTTATGTTTCTCTTTACAGGTATTTCAACACACGACAATCAAGCGTTAAAGATTCAAGTTCATATGTGTGGAGTTACCTAGGTATAAGAGTAGTTTACTTACATATATTGTATGTTTATATTTAAGCTCAATATATGTACACTTAACACGATTTTTGACGTTTTCTATCATATAAATGATTTTTCATCAAACGTTGTTACAATATCTTTTATTTCATGTTTACAGCTCATTCAGACTTTATTATATACATATAATATATGCATGATATATATATACATGTTTATAAGTCATATCAAAATTTTCATATTCGTAAAATACATGTTTTACGAACACTTTTAAAAAACAGTGTGTTTTTGCAAACGAAAATTATTTTTTCAAAAATTCCTTTTCTAACATGTTCATTTTATCATTTAGAAACTTTTTCCAAAGTTTTACTATTTTTGGAATTGATTTGATATTTTTAACGTAATTTCAAAATCAGCCCAAAAACCTGTCATTTACCTGTATCAGTTTGCGGTCGACCGTCACGGTCGACTGCCAGTAGCATTTTTTCTTTCTATGGTTTTTATGTGCTCACGGTCGACCGTGACGGTCGACCGTGAAACCATATAGAGACTTTTGCGGTCGACCGTCGCAGTCGACCGCCAGCATCAATTTTTCAAACCTCAGTGTTTTTGTGCTTTGCGGTCGACCGCCACGGTCGACCGCCGAACTCATGATTGTATTCCAACGGCTAGTTTATGATTTGATTCTCTGGGGTTTTTTTGGTCATTTCAAGTTGGTTTTTGCTGAGTTCTTGAGTGGGTATAAATACCCCATTGCTCTTCTATTTCAGCAACTAAGAAAACCAAGAGTTTTATTTTTACAAGAAGTTTTAACAAAGATTTAAGAGGCGTTTAAAGAGCTGTTAAGCTAATTTTCGTTAATCTACTTCAAGAGAAGTTTTCTACAACAAGAAGCGGCTTTCAATTATTGGAATCATCATCTACTACTCTTCTTGTTTATTGAGAAGTTTTCTAAACTCTTCCTTATATAGCTTACTATTTCATTTTTATTTATTTAGCTATATTTATTGAGTTGTATTATTTTCATTCACTATTATCACACACACATATTAAGCTTAATATCTTCATACTATATAGTGTGGGTTGTGGGGTGTGATTTAGTGAGTGTGAGCTTCATTTGCGTTCTCATTTGTTGTTGAGAATAAACCATTGTATTTAATCTTTATTTGTGAGTATCACTTGTAATACACTTGTACACCGAGAGAAGTGTGAGGCGAGAGACGGGGTCGAATCCAATAGGAATGGCGTCGGTTGTCGAACCTAGGGAGAGGTTGCATCCGAGCACTTGAGGAGGAGGACACGGGCTAGGTTCCTACACTTAGTGCGTAAAGTGTGATTGCATAGTGTTTGTTGTGTGAGAGTTTTCGGTAAGCTTGTAAACCGAGTGTGTAGAAGTTCCGGCTTCCAAACCGGATTGTGATAGTGAAGATCTCCTCGAGGTGAGGAGCGGGGACGTAGGTCGTGGGGACCGAACCTCGTAAACATATCTTGTGTTTGTGTTTGCTTAGCGTATATTTCTTTTGTGCTCATTCTTATCGTTCTTATTCATATCTATCTCTTGCAAGAACAAATTGATCAACATAATTTTAATTAGAATTTAATCGGGATTAGTTAGCATAAGACCCTAATCACCCCCCTCTAGGATCTAACAATAACATTATTACTGTTATTAAATTTATCAATTTCCCTTAGTTCTAATAGAACACGCTTACTAGCCATCTGGTAGAAAACTAAAACTAAAATTCCAATTTTAAATATTATATAAGGTTGATGTATAGACAGATGTACTAAAAATAGAATAAAGTTAGATACAAAAAACAAAATAAATAAATTAAAAGAACCTGACTGTTTCGAGTTGAGAAATGAAACTCCAATTCGAACGAGATCGTCACCTAGTGGTGTTGAATGGAGAAGCACTTGTCAAAATCGGTTTTGACTGGATTCGGAGATGATCTGCTGCTATCGTTGAGCTGCACCGGATAGGATTTGCGAAGAATTGTTCGGACAACTATAATTGATTGAAGGCAGGTTATGAATTATGTAAGGGGCTAAAGTAAATTTTCCCTCAAGCTAGAAATAGCTTTGTTGAACTTAAAAAAAATAATGGAGGGGCCGAAAAAAAATTCCCTTGCATAATCTATGAGAGATTGAGTCACTGTAAAAACAAAAAGGAAAAAATCCTATTAGGCACGGAGCTTCAAAAACAAACTTTTTGAATGTGGCGAAAAAATATTGGCTTTCTCTCTCTCTTTTTCACACACACACATAGCAAGAGGTGTTGATCTCCTCGGTCAAAGAGAAGAAATGAAAGGATAGTGGGTAGCTGGGTTTTTTTTTACTTCTTTTGAGGTGTAGAGATTGATGGACAAAGATTAAAATATTAAAAAAATAAGAGAACAACTTCTGTTTGAAGAAAACATTTTTTTAAATATAAGAACTTGGGAAACGAAACCGTGGGGGAAGAGCCAATAATCTCTTTTCTCTATCGGATAAAAGAGTAAAAATAGCAGGGAACAGATTTTTAATTGCTCTAATACCAATGTACGAAACATAGAAGAAGAAAGAAAATAATGAGATTTCTTTTGAGGGGGCTCCGGTGATAGAACATGTTTTTTTTTCTGTGTTATATCTTCTCAAGAGAAGACTGCACTATTTATAGAGACTATCCATCATCTCCACACCCTCAATTGTTGCCTCTTGAGAGAGATTCTCTCAACAACCCACTTCTCCATAATTCTCTCAATTAAGAATAGTTGATTTGGTCACACAAGACCAAGTTAAAATAACAAGAAGTGATCCATAAGAGGCTCCATGGACAGAAAATCAAGCACATGATTGAGATACCCATATTACACTCTAATCCTGCCAATATTAGCACACTGGTTGCCGAAAAGGAGAAAGAGTGCTAAATGAAGACATATAGAAATGAAGAAAAAGAAGAGTCAACATGAAGTATGTATTCCTCCAAAAGAAAAGTAGGCAAAGAGATTTTAATCAACCTCAAAATACCACATATCTATCTATATCTACATCTATACTACATATAAAAAAGGATTGCCTTGTGAAAACTTTTGATTTCCATTTTTACCCTTTTAAGTCTGATAATTATCAAATATGTCATAATTAATCATTCACTAATTATATATAACCTCTTATTAATTATGCATTTCCTCTTTTTTTCAAAACTTTGGCCACACTATTTTTATTATTTAATTATATTATTTAATATAAAATTTGAAATTTATTCCTAACTTATCTTCACATAATATTTAAATTTGTAGAAAGAGTAAAAATAATAAAAATTCATTAGGCTTATGTCTTACACATTTGGGTTTCACCTCTTATGGAGGACTACCAATTACCTTGCATCTTATTAGCCTTTTAAAAATATGATAATAGTATGAAAAATAATTTATATTTATTATAATTGTAATAGTATTGATGGTATAATGATTTTAATAGTATTTTTAAATTAATAGATTACACTGTAATTTAATAATTATACAAATGAGTAAATTATTTACTAATAGTGTAATAAACTAATTTTTAAATTAGAATGTAGTTACTAATAGTATCATAATTATGCTATGTATAATATTATTTTATTTAAAAGAGAAGAAACTATTAAATATATTATAATTATTTTAATAAATTATGAATAAATTATAATAATTATTCAAACTATAATAATTAATCCTACAATTCCTTATACACAGTTTTATCATATAATTTATTCATTTAAATACAATTATGATTGTTCAGAACTTATATTGCTATACAAGTCATTTCGTTATTTTGCAGCCAACGAAAAAAATCGAGAAACATAAAACAAAACATGTATGCTCTCGTGCAAAGCACAAGCACTACACTAGTTCATGTAAGTATATAAATCTCATCTGTATCTAGTAATGGAACGTACGCCATTGACCTGTAAACTGGGGGGGATCAAAGCAAACAACTTTAGCGGAAAAAAAAGAAGAGGGGAATGAAGATAGAGATGTCCACAGCAAAGCAGGTGTTTTCCACATCATTTACACATTCGAGGGGGAAATAAATCATAACAATATCTTGATATCTTCAAGTTTTCAACAGAAACCATCAAATGCTCTGGACTTCTACCCTGCTCCTAACTTCCTTTCCCTGTTTCAACTTGCTAAGAGCCCCAGAGACCGGCAATCTCGTATGTCTTATCAACTTTAAGCTACCCATTTTAAAGCAGGGAAAGGAGTAGCCAACATAAAGAAAATGATACCATCTCAACAAGAATTCTTTTTGCTGCTGCATAAACCGTGCATGTCGCTCACTCGGCAGCTGTAACTGTGGCACTCAGCGATGCTTATCTGTATCTGTACCGGCTGCACCTTCTACATTATCTTACACATACAAGAGTCTACGAACTCATCCTCTGAGTCACTTGAATCACTGTAAAAAAGAGCCCAAAAGAGAAGTGTCAAGTCACTTGAACCATGGTAAGACAGAACCACAGCTAAAATACTTGCATCATGCATCCTTTTAGTCGCCTTTCGAACATTTGCCATAGGAAAAGAAAACATGAAAGCTAGTTAGTCTGAACCTATTACAATGTTGCATTCTAGTACATAGTAGTACTCAGACCATGTGATTACAATGTATTACAACGTTACATATTAAATAGAAAAGTCTGACCCCAATACAATGATACATTTATTAAATAGAAAAGTCTCATCTTATGACCTGACAATTAAACCTAATACCACGTTACATTGTTAGGATTCAAACCATGCGATTAAGCTGTCATCTCCTACCTAGTCAGCCTGAACTTATTTTTCAGGATCAAAGACTATTCTAATATACAGGTTACTTCACATGAAGCGGCAACAGAGTATGAAATAACAACTTAGCGTAACCCTCGTTGTTAAGATTGTGCTTTAAATCCTCAGGAGATTGGGACACCAAATTTTTATAGGTTAAATTTTGCATTACGTTTTCTATCACAGTTATATGTGGTTCGAAACCCTGGGCAAAGCAAACAGCTTCATGAATAGAAAAGGCTTAAGGGCCAGGCTTGGACTGACTTGGCATTTAAGATCTTACCCAAGCTATCTAGACGTTCAATCAAAAAGTCTGCTCAGGATATAAAGGAGAAAAGCAAATTCGACAAATGAGAAGTTAGAAAGCAATATTCATGAACATGTAGCAAGTTATGCTTCTGTTAGCCCTTTTCAAATTTTAATATGCATTCAATATTGACATCAGTTTCTTTTTAAAAATAAAACCAGCTAAAATTGAAACAAAATACCCATACTGTTTTGCTTATAATGATCCTCCTCCTGTGCAAAATACATTAAGTGATATTTGGCAATCAAGGATATTGCTAAGTGCTACTATAAATGGCTTGACAAAAAGTATCTCCATTGGCTTCAGTTGGATAATTTTAAGTTTTTTACCATAGAAATCACCTTAAAATAGTTGTAATTTAATTATACGGAAAAAGCCTTTCAATTTCAATTTATACATAAACCACCTTAAAAGTGGGTTTTCGATGCAATCAACTACCTCTCAGTCAAATTTCCACTGAAAACACAAAAATAAGCTTTAAAAAAATTCAACATCAAGGCATATGAGTTGTCTCCTAACAAGACCTAAACAATGTTTTAAGAAGCCTCGGTCTAGCCCGCCTAGGCGTACACTTTAACAAAACCTCATCCACCACCACTTAAAACGAAGAAAGAAATCCGCCTAGGCGCTAGGCGTCTAAACTTTCTATAACATTGGTATTTATTATCAATTACTATGATTAAAAAACAAAAAAAATAGAAAAACCACCTAGGCAGCACCTAAGCTCTGGGCATCGGGTCCAACGCCTAGACCGTCTAAAGCTTTTGGTAACCATGGACCTAAATACTAAAAATTGAGAGTTTTTAGGGGTAATTTTGGGTTTAGTGAAAATTTTGACTGGATGGCGGTTGATTGCAACAAAAAACCACTTTGAAGGTGGTTTATGTATACATTGAAATTGAAAATTGGTTTATGCGTAATTACCCTATTTTTAATGTGGTTTCGAAAAAAACCCCTAAATTGAAACACCAAGTTATTTATTAAACAGAATCCAACACTAATTGTTATGGAGCTCAACGATTTGAAAACCCAGGCATCAGAAAGCTAATGCATAACATCGCGAGAAATCCCTCTAATTGGCCTAGGCCAGGGAGTCTTCTGCATCTAATCAGGCATTGAGTAGAAGCACAACGGTTGTGCGGTAACATCAGAGTAGGTGAAACTTCAGACATCTTGAGGGTAAACTGCCTAGCGCCTACATCTTGAACTTGCCATACAAAACACTTCCCTTAAACATCTAGACACCACTTCATTTGACATAAAGAAAATTTGTATGGTTAGAAATAGGATAAATTTCACAATTTGTATGGTTAGAAATAGGATAAATTTCACAATTTGTATGGCTAGAAATAATTATAAAAAAGAATAGAAGGTGACTTTTTTCAGTATTGAGGGCATCTTCTCCCCTTTTTCAGTCAGGTGCTTGACATGTGACACATTAGACTTATATGGTATTACTTTGAATTAAATCAAGGTGTTTGTTTTCCAACGACTGCTTATATAAAGCTACAAGATACACAAAATGACCACCAAACGTTCAAATTCTATTGACACGTATAACATCATCAAAAGTTTCATTTTTACCACATACAATCAACTCAAGCTTCTAAATAACAACAAATTAATTAAATTGCAGCCAGAATTAATTAATTAACCTCGGAAAGAATTCAAGCACTTGGACGAGCTGGTCCCCGTGATCATCGTTCCACTGCACTCGCCCCTTGGCGTTCTTCATCCCACTCTTCCTCTTTCCCGCCATGGCCGAGGGCAAAAGTGCCTTTTTCTCCAGATCCTCCTCCTCCTCAGCGTCTTTTTTGGGTAGAGAGATCTTGGCCTTATTTCTCCATTTCGACTTTTTGGGTTTTATTCTGCCGCGATCCATCAATTTCCCCCCTCATTCATACCCAATTCTCGAAACTTCCCGTTAATTATGAGATCAAATCGCGTATTTTGGTAAAAAATGAATTACGTTTTTCTTTTCTTTTCTTTTCTTTTTTTCCGTTTCGTTTTGGGAGAGAGAACGCGAGAGGTAAATTGGGGGAAAATGAAGAAGAAAATTACAGAAAACCCGCGATTCTCTCGACCGCGGTTTTAAATATAGAGAGGGAGGAGGACGGTGACCTCACGTGCCGCGCACGTGACTTCCTTTTTCGGGGCTTTCTTATTGGGCCAGGGCTTTTGACGACCGGGCCATAAATGAAAAGGCGGGTATTAAGGGCATCAAATTGGGAACGCTCAAGCAATTGCCGCCAAAGTTTGGCGCGAGATTTTTCTTAGGTATTATTTTAATCCGACGCTCATCTTTTTGCTCTCACTCCCTCTTCTCTCTCTCTCTAGAGTTTCCTTTTACTGCTCCCAGATCTTCGATCTTGAAGATTTATTTGGGTGGATCTACACGACCAAGGTTAGTATCGATCAAGCGAAGATCTTTTCTTGTTGCTAGATGGTTTCTCTCCTTCTTTTGCCCTAATTTTACATTTTGATGCACGATTTGAGATCTGAGGTGCATTAGGGTTTTTAATCGCTTGATTTACTTTGTGTAACCGAAATTTATAGCCATCTAATTGATTCTGCTCCTTTTTTATGGCAAATGCATCGCTTTTATCGTCAATAAAGATATTGACGATCTGAGGTGATGGATCACTTGGGTTGATTCGATCCTTTGAATTTCTGCTAGAGAAATGCTAAAGATAAAATCTTGAACGGTTTTGAGATAGAAATTGCTCAATTTTGTAATTCTCGATGTTAAATTGTGAAATCCTCAAACTCCAGGCATGCCTCTTTCCCATTCCAAACCACTTGGCAAAGAATGGAAAGGGTTCATTTTTTATTTAACTATTCAGATCGAAGCACAGATCCTTTTAGTGTGAGTTTACACGTTGCCCCACGAGGAAGGCCATGCCAATTCTGTGTTTTGCAAAATGCTTGGTTTGGAAACTATAAATGTGTCACTAGGATATGGCAGGATTTAGTGGAAGGGCTCTGTGTTTGTATTGTTGATACCAGTAGCCAAAAGATGTCAGCTAGTGGCTTCTTCAAAATTCTGAGGATGACCAGAAAAGCTGTAACCTTGTGGATTTAAAACTGGGGGAAATGTTTTGTTTGACTAGTTATCTGAAGCAAAATCTTGACCTCAGCATGAGCACAAACTTTGCACTTAAACGTAGTTAAACCTTTCTTGAGTAAAATTAGTTAGACCTAAGTAATCTCAAGAAACTTCTGTTTTTTGGGAGATAATAATGGTATGGCTTCCTTTTGGGTTTTTGAAGAAAAGGGGAGGGGCTGTTTTTATCAAGCTCTACATGGTAGAATATGCTTGCGGTTTCTGCATTAGAGTTATATATTAATTTTGGTCGAACAAACATTCTATGCACTTGATTAAAACAAATTTCCTAAATATGTGTGAGAACTCTTTCAAGTAAAGTTACTTGATGGTTCACTATTACTTAAAAGTTAAATCAATGGATGTGCGCGGACAAATAAGTTCATCTTTGAGAATGGTGCAATATTCCTGGGTTATATCTGATATCATACTCTTTCTGAGAAAAATATCATACTCATCTTAGCTATAAAATGAAATTAACTATTTTGAAAGCTCAATCGAATGGTATAGTTAGAATCTAATTTGGTATTAGATCATTTTTTAATCTTAATGGAATATTTGGAGGTGAGAGAAGATACTGAATAATATAAAATATTCTCATATGTTCTGATATTTGGTATGTCTTACACTAGGAAACATCTGATTGTCTCATCTCCTTCGAGTAATGATTTTAGTATGAAGACCAAGTGCATGAGTATATGCTTTAAATGATGCCAATATGCTACTGCTTGAGCACTTATCTGTTTAATCTCTGTGAACAGGATCAAACATGCCTCGCGGAGGTTCCTCCAGGGAGAGAAGGGTGGAAACAGATTCTCATCAGAACCCGAATACAATGGGCTGCAGCCCAAAGAACTCCACTCTGACTAAAACGCTAAATGTAAGCCCTTGTAGGAGGCAATCTTCACGGCTCAGGGCATTAAATGCTGTATACCAGGCTGAAGATGCAATCAGCTCAGAACTTCAGCAAGCTAGTGGAGACAGCAGTCACCATTTTTTCACCCAGACAAAGGCAGAAAGCATTGAATCCACTGATGATCCTAGTATCACTGAGACTTTGAAGGATCTGAGGAGAAGATGCAAATCTAAAAAGCGGAAAGCGCTGAACCTTGCTGATTCCTCAACTTCTGATCAGAGTCATGCTCTTGTGAAACCAAAAGAAGAGGAGCCTGACCTTGAGGAACCTCTTATTTTTTTGAAATTGAAGTCGTCAAATAAATCTAGAGGCAGAAAAGAAAAAAGACTTTCACATCATTCGGAGTCGGTTTTATCCGTAGAAGGAATAACTGCACTGGCGTGTTATCCCTCTTTCAATAGGAAAGAAGATTTTTCACTTATGCCAAATTACAGATCATTGACTGCAGAGGAAGTAGCCTTTATAGATGAATCGAATAGTACACCAGGTGAGATTATTGAAGCTGTTTATCCATACTATATAGCATCTATGTCTCTAACCATCCTCCAAGCGTAGATATTTCTTTGTGATTCATCTTCTAAGTATGTCTCATATAGATTAATAGGGGTAAATCATAAGATAGGTCATGGCTATAAGTTTTAAATAACTATATGTTATGTTATACTAATGCAGTTCCTGATCTTCTTTCAGAAAGCATTAACGAGAATTCGGAAGTGATTTCCGATAATGATCAAATTCATGTTGGCAGTCCAGAGTTAGTTTACACCATCAAAAGTGAGATCGTGGAGACTTGTAATACTGTTAGTTCTAACTCGGTCATCAGTGGCAACTGTAGTGCTCTTGGTGAACTGTCTCATAAAATATGTGAAGAGTCGGTAGATGATCAGTCATATTCTGCTAGCAAAATTCTACCTCCATGTGTTATTAGTTATCAAGAAACGGGTAGGCACAATTATTCTCCCTCAGCAGGATCACAAATGGGGGCCAGTTTTCCAGTTGATGCTTCAAAATCTGTTAATGAAGTTAAAAGCGAGGCTGTTGAAGCTGGTTCACTAGAGACTATAAGTGCAGGTCATATTTCTGCCACTTCTGATTTGGATTGCATCGGAGATTTAAATAATCCTGGCAGCTCATGTAGTAAAGTACAAGAGAGAATGGATGAAGGTGAGTTAGATCTAGCAGCTGAAACTTCCTTCACAACAGAACCTATAGTTTGTTGTATTAATGAAAGCCCTTTCGAATTCATGGACATAGACAACTATCTTAATTTTTCAGAATGTGGCAAAGAACCTCTTGAAGAGACGGACAAGGATGTCAATCCTCCAAGAAGCAACGAGGAACCACTAGATTGTTGTGTCAATCAAGTTTCTCTTGAATTCATGGAAACTGACAACTGCACCAGTCTTCCAGAAAGAAGCATAGAGCAATATGAGGATAAAATAGAACTAGATTCTGCAGAAAGGTCCTGCCACAAATTTTCACCTTCTAAAACTGAGACCCAAACACCTTGTGCTTATAATTCTCAGTTGGTCTCAGCAACTACAAATCTTGGTACTGATGTTTGTGGTGAAGATAGAAACCTTAACAGTAAATTGGGGGAGGTTATACATCAAGGTGTAATGACTCAATTAGATAATTTAGCTGTAGCTGATTGTCAAGAATGCACAGCTGACAATAATAGTACAGAATTTCACACAGCCAAACAATTTGAAAATAATGATGATGAAATACTGGTTCCCGATATTCCAATATGCAATCGTGAAAAAAATGCGTCCGGTTTCAGTGAGGAAGTTGGTTCTCTTGGTAGCCTAGTTTTCAAAGCACTTTGTGGTGATGCACGGAGAAATAGTAATGAAGGTCATTTCGATTCTCACATTGACAAGAGTTCCCTATTGGGAATATATTATCCCTGTCTTCCTTGGTATTCAGGCACATCTTGTGACTCTGTTGAAGATTCACATGCTGCTGATGAAAGTTCTCCTGGAACTGAGAGTTTCCACTATTCTACCTTGGATCAAAACAGCTCTCTAGGAGAGAAAGCTAACACTTCCGAAGTCGATGAAGCAGAACTCGTTGAAGAACCTGATTGCCATTCTCCTCAAGTTTCCCCTTCAGATTCCAGTGCAGTTAACAATGTAAAAGACAGTTCATCAGAGTCTTCAGAAAAAGTTCAACCTTCAGCAGAAAATATGTTATCCTCACCTGTAGAGATGCCGACTAGCCGTTCTCCAGAAATGTCTTATTTAGTTAAAGAAGAGGGATCCAACATGGAGAATGAACTCAAATTATCTCCAATAAAGCTGTTATCAAATAGGAAGGTGGGATTCCATTTCCTTGGTCCTCCCTTTGGCTTCTAAATTTGTGATTTACTCTTTAACTTACCAGATATTCCTTTGCAGGAGTTTTCTCCGACTTCTCAGGAAAAGCTTCGTTGGGCTTTACATGTCAATAAGTCAGATGATATGATCAAAACTGCAGGTATGTTATTTTAACATGTCAGGATTTTTCCTTTCCTTTATACCTTTTAACTTTTATATTTCTTGATTATATCCTTGCTGATCACATGCCATAAAAATCCCCTTATACTGGAATGAGGCTTTGCTTCAAGAATCAGCCTAATGAGCTTTATTATTGGTGTCAGATCATGAGGAAAATGAAGTGATGCTGAGTTCAGAGAGAAAGAGAGCAAAGAACAGAAGGAATCGCTCATTTCAACTGCTTTCCAAAGGAACCCTCAGATCGCAAGATCCTTCTGATGGAAATTGTTCTTGCTCAAATAGCACCTTCATCCACATCCAGGCCCAGAAAGCAGTAACATTTTCGCAGAGGCAGATGCAAGATATAGAAAATATTGCAACCAAACTCTTAAACGGGTTGACATCTATGAAAAATATCATGGTGGAAAATACAGGTTCAGATGAACTACGATCTGATGAGGTAAACATTCTGAACTCAGCCCTTCAGACATTCTACTTGCTGTGCACTACATATCTCGAAAGGCTAATTAGAGATTCAAAAAGCATAATTCAAATAAAGTGTCCTGTTCCTTGATGCTATTGGATATAAGGTTAGAAACACTGTATTTGAATTCTAATTGTGTTTTCTTTTTCCTCTAAAAAGTAGCATTTTCTTAAATAGGCAGTAAGAGGAAAAAAGTGTGCCACTGTACTGAGTTGATAGAGGTGTAAAGTTTTTCTTAGGGGCTGTTTGGTTGTATGTTTTTACCATGTAAAAGGATGTAAAGTGTAAAAAAGTGGGTCCCAATGTTAGCTTTCATCACTTTCAATTGTTTGTTTGTAGTTGTGAAAATAGTGTAAAGTGATTTCATATGCTGATGTGGCTTGTAAAGTGATTTCATGAAAAAAAGACATGATTTTAGGAGAAAGCTGACATTGAAGTTAGGAAAAAATAATAAAAAATAATTCCAACCAATATGATCATTTGAGTAGGGACCACTTTTTACACTTTTCAAACAAACAATTAAAGTTTCATTTTGAAAACCAAACAAGTGTTTTATGATTCCAATGGAATAAAAAACAAACAAAGAAAAGTATAAAAGTGAAATTGATGAGGTGGACAACAACTTTCAAAGTTGTGTCATAAATACACAACTTTACCAACAACAACCAAACAGCCCCTTAGTGTTCCTGTTGTGTGTAACTTTCTATGCATACAATATGGAATTACTGAACTATATCTTAGTTCTTAAGTGTGCTTTTTTTTTCGAGTCATTTTTCGAGGTCTAGTTATTAACAAGTCATTCTTTAATGCAGGTTCAAGTATGGTCGACACTTTTTCCTTTAATCTGCAAAATATTGTTGTTTTAATTAATACGTGCAGCCTATTTCTGTTCCTCATTATTCTTTCCATGCTACAGATCAGAATGGCTATCAAGAATGCATCAAATCTTGAAGCTACCACAAGAAAATGGATGTCTATGATGGCAAAGGACTGCAATCGATTCTGTAAAATAATGGTTGGTTTTCTTATCTTATTGTGATATGAATTAACGTCATAGGAATTTTGTTTTGAAAATTTGATCAACCAATTTATATCGCCTTTTGATTGCAGAATGTAACAGAGAACAAGGGAGCTTCACCTACTGCTGTTAGGAAGCAACGAAAGAAAATAACTTTTGCCGATGAAGCTGGTGGCTCCCTTTGCCATGTCAAAGTTTTCGACCAACTACCTGCTTCTTTATAGTGCTCAGAATTGATAGCAAACATGGAACTTGTGAGCTGAGCATAATTTATTGCTTGCTTAAGCATTCTAATATACTGATCAATCTTCACTGCATGTAAACACTGAAGTTTTTGTGACTGAAAGGAGTGCAGAATTAATGTAACGGTTTTTGAGGAATTTAAATTACCTGAAGTAAAGATTCTTGTTGTATTAATTATTTGTGGGATAACCATTCTGTAATTTAGTGTAATGAGTGCAGCTGGAACATTGTATATGGATGTATTTTCTGCAATTGTTTCTTTCATTCTGTGTATTTTGATCCTGTGATCTAAGTACCCATAGTGATAATATCTTTGAGTTCTATTTTCTTTTTTGGTATTCTTGATGCAAAAAGGTCCAACAATTTGAAGCTCATTTTTTTAGAAGCCCAGGGTTTGGGGCCCTCTTTCACAGTCCAGTGCCCAATAATTAAAAATTGGGGACATAATTAGAAAATGGGGATAGTTACCTTATAGACGTAAATCGATTCTTGATCTTTTGAGCTAAGGGGCTGTTTGGTTCACCTGTTTTATGAAAAAGTTTTGAGAAAACACCTGATAATAGCGTTATTGTAAATAATAGAATTCTGAAGATTTTTATAAACTGTGTTTGGTTCTAAAAAAAATTATAGAAATATTTTTTATAAAGTAAGAAAAAATGTACTATTTTATAGAAATCAACTTTTTCTCTAAATGGGCAGAAATTGCAAGGAAATTTGACGCATATAATAAAAAATTAATTAAGTACACCAATACCATTCCCATGTGATTTCCCATGAACACTGTTAGTAAACTATTTTCTATAAAGTGATATCCAACCAAATAAAGAAAAAGAAAACAACATATTTTCTATAAAGTTAGCAACTTTTTCATACTTTGAACCAAACAAAGAAATAACCAAAAACAAGGAATATGATACTCTTTGAGTTCTATAAAATTTTCCTATAAATTTTATAGAAATACAAGGAAATTAAAATTTGAGTATTTCCCCCCCTCTTTTTTTATAGAAATTGAACCAAACAGCCCCAAGGCTCCAATCATTATACGAGTGTTTTCGCCGTAAGTGGGATGCGAGAAACATGGACACAAATATGACAAGAAAAAGAATAAAATTAATGCAGAAATATATGCGCTACATAATTTTCTCTCATCTTAATGACGTGATCATGAACAGTCCTCCCGCTCATTTAATATAACTAAACTAATCAATTGTCATGACTACTTTCTTAATTGCTCATTCTATTCAAATATGCATTTGCGCGTGTTGTGTTATAATTTTTTTAAAACTAGTTCCATGTTCCTCTCATCGAACATAAGATTTATTAACTCCTCTCTAAAAAGGGGTTATCAAACGCTCTCTCATACACAATTTTGTAAAGAAAGAACAAGTGACGAGTCAAACAATGTTACTGTCGATGGAAACTACTAGCTATCATCCAATTCCAAAGTGCTGATCGCATGAGACTTGGGAGGGACTAAATCAATTGCCTACAACAATTAACATTCTTCATTTGTACCAGAAATTGTACTCACGATGTTTTTTTTTATATAATAAATGCATTGGGAGGTTATAGACGTCCTCAGTCTCAATTTTCTCCTTCATTCTTTGCTGCCATATGCGTGGCCAAGGATCAATCAATGGGGATTTTTTATATGCATTTAGTATCTAATATGCATCTAATAATTCTTTTAGTTTAAACTTTTGCCGTTTGCATGAAGCTTCCTATCCCTGCGATCAATTCTCAACTTTTCGCCCTAGGTAAAGTTGCTGAAATTGACTTGTTTTCTTTGTTTTTTAGCCAGCATCACGAGTCATTCGAAAAAAAAAATTCTGCTTATGTTTTATGTTTGATTTGGCTATAAAATTGTAGTTTGATGTAAAAGAATAGACTTCGATTTCTGTTTCTTCTACCAGGGTGAACTAGTCTGCTGTCCGTGCAAAGCACGGGTTTTTTGCTACAGTATTTCCGCCTTTTTAACATCTCCTGTTTTGAATTTTCTGGGAATGCTACAGTATCCCGTTCTGCTACAGTACCTTTTAAATGCTACAGTATACCCTTGTGCTACAGTATTATTTTTAAATTAATTATCTGGTACAGTAATAATGCTACAGTAAATCTGATGTAGCATTTACTGTAGCATGAACAGTAACTCTCTGGTTCTCCCTTTTGTATACAGGAATAGATGTCCCATAAACTTATTTATTGTTGTTTGTTTCGTCACAGGCATGGATGATAAATTTGTGATCATTCAAACAGAATGTAGTTGAAGTTGACAAATATATGTATACTCTTCATAAGTTCAAGTAATTACGTAAGCAACTTTTATCAGGATGTTTGCATATTTTTCAAATTGGAATATCTACTTCTACCGCGAGTAGTAATTAAGATTTGGATTTGCAATTTTCGTAAAAGATTACTTTGATTAATTAAGCTAACCTCCATTACTAGAATAGTTACGACTTTTGAAACACTAAAGGGGCATGATGGCAACTTCGTTTATGGAAGAAAACTAGTCATGCATTTATAGTTTGGTAAATAATTGGACCTAATCTTAAACTGATATTATTAGGCTAATTTTTTCAGTTTAAACTGAATCATGATCGTTCTACCACTTCAGACTCGGAGTTAGATTACTTTAAGCTAGTTCTAGTTGTGGAGATGATCCTAAGGTTTTGTTTGGCAAACATCCTAACATGGGTCAGGACTGGCCTTGACCTTATTTACAAATAAACTGGTCTTATTTTGGACTAGGGAGAAGGTGGTCCAAAATGAAACCAATTTTAAGGGCCAAATTTGGTCTTGAAAAACTGGCTAATATTGGTCTAGCTTTATCCCAAACACAAATTTGCTCAAAATAGGACCAGGTTCAACCATGACCCTGTTTTGAGGAGTTGGGTGTGTTTAACAATCACCCAAAAACTAGGCTAGGTTCAATCCTGGCCCAATTTTACTTTATACTAGTTTAGTGTTGGACTACAACTTTCCTGTTCTAACATTAAACTGTTTATGGCCTTTTTTAGCCTAAGGCCTAAGAAAAATTAGGTCAGAACTGATCCCGTGTTTACTAATCAAAAGGTAACTTAAAACTGGGTCAGGTTCAGTCCTAACCCAGTTTTAAAAGTTTGTCAAACACATCCTAAAGGCTAGTTTTTCAAATTATGGAACACTAGATGAAGATTGATCCTGGCCAAGTTTAATCTAGTGTAGAAGTGATCCATATAGTGGTGGTTTGCAAAAGAAACTGTTTTGATATCAAAAATTGGTTTAAAAATGGACCAATTCTGACTCAATTTTAGCTAATCATGAAACAATAAGAAAAATAGATCAAGATTAAGCCTGACTAAATTTTAAAAAATTACCGAACACATGAGAAGTCTTCAATTTGACAATTTGTCTTTCTTTTCCTTTTTTTTAAGAAAGAAAATTTTAATATTCTACTTCCTAGCTATTACATGTACTGAGGGGGGCACTACTTTATGAATTTTCCCCTCCAGTTTTTGGGTCAAAAACAAAAGCCTCAACTTGGCCCACACTAGTCGCATCCTCAAAGAAGAAAGAGAGGAAGAATGGTGTCGGGTAGCGTGCCCGCGTCAAATCGTTGCTTGTCGGAATCCAACTCCAAAAAGCTTATGATTCATCACATCCCTCATCAATTTCCGTCTTCTCTCTCTTTATTTATTTATTAGTATCGATCACCAACAGCAAAGTAACAAAAAACAAACCCCAACAGATGGGAGATTGCGTGGATCACGGACAATCCTTATCCAGCTTTGTTCGGGATCAAATTCACTCAAGAGGGGGTACGATAGCCTTCTTTTGGGTGGACAACCCACAATTAATCGGAGGCCAAGTTGGAGTTTTCAGCACTGCCAAATCTACGCTCTATTTAGACCGGAAAACACGGCAGGCACACTCCCAATCACACTTCCGGGCACACCTCCTCTCTCAGCTATCGTGCATGGGGTCCACTTTAGATTTTTTAAAAAAATCTAAAGTGGATCCCGTACACTGTAGCTGAGAGAGGGTGTGCTCCAAGATGTGGTTGGGGGTGTGCCTGTAGTGCCACTCATTTAGACTACACGTACAAAAGATAACAGTATGACTACATATATAATTAAAGAAGAAAAGAACAAGATTCCTTGCTACCTTTCCGCTTATAATTTCTCTTCTTGCTAGAGATAGTAGACTGAAATTTGCAAGCGTTTTTTTAATCGCAGTAAGGAATAATTATGATTGTAAGTCGGGGAGAAATCCGGCCGTAACTAGGTATTGGCCTGAACTTCAATCAAAGTTCATCGCTTTCCCTTAAATTTTTAATGTGAGACAATGGTCACACCCCACCTCAAAGACCAAGATTTTTCACTATGTAAGCATGGCAAATGCGTAGTTCTACATTTTTCTACAATAATATAGATTATTCTAGAAGTGTCCAGAATATTCTAGAACCTTCCGGAACATTAATTTCGGAATGTGCAGAGTCCTCTAGGATATAGTAGAATATCATAGAATAGTATGGAGTTCGGGTGAACACGATTCGGTTCGGGTCGGTTTTTACCAAAATTTGAACAACCGAACCGAACCATCTACAATTCAAAACCGAACCGAACCATTACAAATCGGTTCGGTGCGGTTCGGTTCGGTTGTTCGGTTCTAACTTCATTAAGTATAACTTCACTTCAATTTATCTTTTATATATTATTATTACCCTATGCCAGCATGTATTTGTTTTTTAACTTCACTTCAATTTATTATTCTTGCTCATGTATGTATACTGTTTTTAAGTGAAGTAACTTGTCCTTTTGGATTAAATACTAGACTCTGACGTTGTAATTTTTTAGTAACGGACTTGCTTTGTCTTTGTGTAGCAATCTTTGACTTTGGTCTTTGTGGAGACGAAAAAAGGAGCCGACTCATTAGAACATTGGTTATGTATGAATCAATTCCCTGCAACTGCTATTCATGGTGATCGAACACATCAATAAACCCATAAATCAAAGGCACAAATATATTCGGTTGGTTCGGTTCGGGTCGGTTTGAAAAATTATCAACCCGACCCGAACCGCCTTACTCATAAAACCGCTTTTTTCGGGTCGGTTCGGATCGGTTCGGTCGGTTTTTTCGGTTTGAACCGAACCGTGCTCACCCCTAGTATGGAGAGTGCTAGTAAAAGTTAATTCGAAATAATTAATTGCAAGGACTATCGTGGCTAATTAAATATTATTAAAGACTTCTTCATCTTCTGTGAAATATATCTTGGTCGCCTGATGGTTTCT